CGTGTTTGTATCCTACGGAGTATTAGAGTTCAGGAAGTCGGCCTTCTTTCTCATCTCACAAATGTGGATCACAGCCCCAGTGCATTTCCTGTGTTTTTCCCACACATAGCACACATCACTGTGCAGTGGACTTAAACAAGGCAACCGGATGTTTAGATGTTTAGCAGAGGCATCCCTCTATTTAAATGCAATCAGGGTCACTGCGATTCTTTGCAGGAGAGTAAACAAGGCAACAATCTTTTGTTTCCAACAAGCAACTGCAGAGCAAAGGATGTGTCACTCAATTGGATTCAACATAAATACAACATTGTTCAATTTTCTTCCAACAGTGTAGTATTTTTCGAGTCTTTTGAATTTATATTGAACACAAGCCTTTTAGGAGACACGTTAGTTTCTAGGGCATTTTCATCAGTGGTGTTAGAATCTGTTGGTTGAATGGTTTGCTTTTTCTTGATATTGTGTTATGTATACGTATTCTTATTATTATCTGCCATGTTTATTAGCTTATCTTTGGCTATATTTGGGTCACCTTTCCCAGCCCATTGGTGATTTTAACTACTAATCTGTAGCTACTGTCCTGTATATCAGGAATAACGTAGCTAACATTTAGATAATTTCGCAAACATAAAGCCATATTTTAACTAACTTTTACTTGTCTTCTGGCAAAGATTTTGCTACATTTACCTGTAATGTCCGTCACTTTTTATACAATATACATACTTTTTATACAGTAACACTTTTGCTAACATTCAGCTACTTCTCAGCTTTTTTTGCAAATTACATAATTTTGGTTTTATTTAATTCTGCCCAAATGTTCAGTTTTGAATTATCATTCAACTGTATCGCTGTGCCTGATACCATCTACATTTTATCATTTTTAGCTAACTTTGCGATAGCATTAACTATGTTGCTTGGTTTTAAGGACAATAGCCTAGTAAGTTAAAAAAAAGTGACTGGTATTCCACTGAAACAACTAAATATTCTTTTTTCCATCACATTTTTTTACACTGAATATGTGAACTCCATATGCAGTACATTTGTATGCAATCCAGAAATAGTTTTAAATATTAGTGGAGAAGCTCTCATGATACTGAAACTTAATACATGTCCAAAATTCACCATCATATTAGACAAATACAGCTTCTATGAACATATGGTGGAGTCTAACACACCGCTAACAGGCCACTGAATGACTATCAGATGACGACTTCAAAACACAGGTGATGTGATCAGCAGCTCTGAAGCAGCACAAGCAGTCTGTGGTCACAAGGGAAAAATAAAGGCCTATCTTTGTACATCCACTATAAAAGGAAATTTAGTCTTTTGCAGCCATACAGTCTTTACAGTGTATACCTCCAAGGACAAGGACCTACGGTTACCAATCACAACCCCTAGGAAATAACCTAAGCTGAGGGTCATCTGCCTTGGATTTTCCACACTGCTTCACATGGTCCCCACTACTGACTCTGAACGGGTTTAGCTTTGTGAAATGTGTGTTTCTGTGTGAATTTTTAGCTCTCCATTCTTAAAAACAGCCAACCGTACGGTTTCCGCAGAGGAACAGGACCAAGAGGTGTGGCTTAAACAAGAGTGCTGGTTTTTTTAAAGGCCTGGCAGCTGAACACAACAATGCATACCTATGATTAGTGTGGGCCTGGCCTCGGAAGCCTGCAACTTTTAGGCACGCTAATTGTATGGTGGTGAGCAAAAAAGGTGTAGTGGCTGCAGGGGAAGGAAGTGTGAGGTCCCTCAGGCATGTTTGGCTGTGTTCTGTGATCCAGCTCGGTCTTTTTCTCTCTCTTCCTTTGACTGGAACTGTAAACATTTGCTGTTGTTTTAAACTTTGTGAGAAACCGTTGACATTATACAGGCAACATGGCGAGGTTTTCTTTCAGGAAAGTCTTAGTGACAGATGAGTGGAGTGTGTCAGCCTTACATAGACGGTCTTGTGACTGCATGCACAAAGATGTTTCTTCAGATGAAAGATGTGCAAAAGCCTTTAGAGAAACACATTTCTGGAAATCTCTAGGTCAGCCGTGTCCAAACTCTGGCTTGGGGGAAATCTTTGGCACCCTGCTTTTCTGAACTTTTTACCAAATAGTTTTTTGTTGTTTGATGACAACTTTCCATTGTGTTAATATTTCTTGACAACTTCATGCAAGTTTTGCTTTTTTTTTTTATTATTTTATTTCAGTTTATACAAAAAACTTTAAGCATACTTTTAGCCATTTTTTGTTTTTTTTTTTTTATTTTATTTCAAAAAACTTTAAGCATACTTTTAGCAATTTTTTTTGGTTACTCACAGAGATATCTGGACATGATTAAGCAATATTTAGCTATTTTAACTTTCAGTGAAAAACTCTAGTATATACCTATGTACTAACCTTAAATTACTAAAATGCTTAAGAAAATTTTTAAAAAGTTGTCCAAAACTTTGTCACTTTGGGTTTAATATTGTAACCAAATTAACAAAAGCATGCACCGGTTGGCCCTCGGGGATTTTTTTTTTTTTTTTGCATCATTGAAGTTATCCCCTACACATGGCACATGCAACACGTATTGGTCTAAGATGATGTTTTGCAGAACGACACGCAGTACTTGAAACTAGATTTGGATTATCTTAACAGTAAATTTGCACCAGTTGCCAAGGTCTCAAACACAAAAACTGGGGACCTAAATTGGTTTCAGTCCTATTTAGCTTGTCCGCCGCTTGCGGCCCTGTTACGTCTATAATGTTTATGTGTTATGCGTGAGGCTTGATTGAAACCTGATCTGGCTGAGGAAGCTGTGTTTAGGGTGAGGTGGACAGGCCTTTGTTGCTGCCTGAGGGCTGTTTATTTGGGCGGCTTCACTCGGCTTCCCTGTAATCATCATCCAGCCC